GCAATTATGAACATGGACAGAAACAGGTTTTAAGAAAACTACCTCGGCAGATTGTTTAAAGTGACATCAGATTGTAAACCTTATTTATTTGCATCCTGAATAAAGCAAAACCACCCTAAATTTTGGAATACATGGATGAGAAGGAACAAGGTGTAAGTTCTACATACTTCGGGTGTACAGGAAATCCAGCATAGGTGGGAAATGGAGCAAATCATACATAAGAAATTGTAGCACTGTTGGGTTTTAGTATGCCAATTTATTACAGTGGATGTAAATCAGGGTACAGCTATTTTCAAATGCCATTTGATACCAATGTCAGTTTGGGCTCACTAATGCAATACAGTCACTCACTGAAAAGGAAGGCATGTTGTTTTCATTTTTCTGGTGGTTTTATGCCAGATTTTGTTTACTGTGGTTTTGGATCAAAAATATACAGGTCTCTACATCTGACCTTTCCTTGAGTTTTACAGTAGCCTTGAATATCCAACAAAGAGAAACTATCATGATCCATTTTTCCTTCTCTGTTACATGATTGTCACCAATAAAATGTACTTTACTGTTACCTCTTGACTATTTTACACAGTAGATCAGGCTAAGTTAAGAGGTGTAATTTATTTCAGCTTCTTTAACCGTGCTGTGTTTTCATTGCTCACTATTTGCCAAAAAATATCCCATGGAAATTCTTTTATCTGATGACTGTAAAGTACAGTGAGTTAGCAGTTAGTTATTTCCCTTTCTCTTAAAACAATCATGTCAATGGTATAACCCTGGCCTGGTGGGAAGTCATCAGGCTGTAGTTTATGGTATAGCATAGGAAACTCTAGCGGGGTGTTGCATTATAGTTCCATATTTTAATAAAAGTATGATTTGAGGAAAAGCACACCAACTATATTGGTTAGTGCAGGGTATAGATGAAGTAATCTTGTGGTTTAAAATTTCCATCCAACAGTTTTATCAAGTTGACTGATTTTTCTTTTGAGGTTTGGGTGTTGTGTTTTTTTTTTTTTTAATTACTGTTCAGACACTTTTGTTTGAGTGTACTTAATTTCCCATCCAAAGCAGCAGCTGAAACAGCCATTCCATGATGTGCAAAGCTTCCTAGGTGTGTACCTTCTCTGAAGCCGAAAGCATTGCTCCCTGTCAGCGGGTGCTGTTGCTGGCCAAACATTGTTGTTATTGGCCTGGGAAAATGTGGATGGATAGTACTGCATTAATCTCAGGCTTCAAACACCCTATGCAGAAAGAGGAGTGAGCACACCACTCCAATTTATTTTTTTTTTTCCTGAACAGAGTTGTTTGTGGCCCTTAGCATCTGTTTCAGGAAGGAGCAAGTCTGACTTCCTCCCGAAAAACCCATGCAAGGTCAGGGATCTGCTTTTTCACTGCATAGACAGCACATAAATCACACAGCTGCAGTACAGAAATCAATCTGTTAAGATAACTATTGCTAATTACTCATCCTCTGGGAACTAGATGACTTAAGATTTGGACTACAGAATACAGAGTACCACAAAACAGAGCTTTTCACCTCCTACGTTACCGGACTTGTTGAATCAGAGCAGCACCCAAAAGTCATTACCATGTGATGGCTGTGGGCTGCTGTGAAATGAGTTATTGGGCTTTATCCAGATTCTAGTGGAGAAATTCCTGTCCAAGTCGCATAACTATGGCTACAGTTGGCAGGGGCTGGAGTACTTGTTGGCAGCCGTGGCAGAGAGCTTGAGGACTGAATATACACCAAGAGATGGGCTCTCTAGATTAATATTTTTTTTTTTTACACTTACCTGAGTCAATGCAAAGCTTAAATAGGCAATTTTCCTTTTGTGTGTGAGGTACCACTGCCTACAGACCTGTCAAGCCAACACTACACAGCATTATTTAAAACCAAGATATCATTCATCCTGGTGGTTACTTCACTGTAATTGTGGAGTGGGGATCTGTGATCACTTCTCTAGCATTTAAAAATGTGATAGCAAACCAAACTGAAAAAACATGAAAGGGTTTGCCACATGAGAAAGTATTTTGATGCAAAAGCTTAGTGCTCATAGGTTACCATGAAGCCTAGGAGAGATGGGAAGCAAGATGGAAGACTATATCTAAGAAGGATTATTTGTTGGCATGGAGGTTAGTAGGAGTTTAGTCTAGACATTAGTCATTCTTAGGGGCATCCAGGGTAATGCTTTCCTCAATCTCCTTCCGGCTTCAGGATCTTTGTAGACCTGCCTTTCTGTAAAGGAGCTCAGGGCATTGACCCTAGGCATTAGCTGAAAGCAGAACCCTAGGCTACATCCCTACTTCGCACTCTTGGGAAGTGTAAATTTGAATGCCAGCCTATTTGTCCTGAGTTTTCTAAAAACCGAACTACATCTCTAAATAGCCACCTGTGATGCTTTGATGGTACTTCAGGATTCTGAATCTAATTCAGCAGTCTTATTTTAACTAAGACTACAAGTAGGTCTAGGGATGTAAGCTGCTGTTGTTTATGGCAAGTTCTGCAGAAGCTGTTCATTATCACATCCCTGATGAGTGATGGGCACAGATTGCGTTGGAGGGTGACTGCCTTACACGTTGGTTGAAAAAAGGAATGACCTACAGTTGTATGTATTACGAGGAAGGTATTTAGTTGTGTAAATGTAATGTCTTCAGGCACTTTGAAATGTGCAGTTAAACTTTTTTTTGTGCTGGGTGTAAAATGCTTTTGTCTTTGCACTCCTTGCTGAGGAAAGATGCCTGCTGAAACTGTAGATAGCTTGTAGAAAGCCATGGAAATGATACACAGAGCAAACTATTTCACTCCGTTGCCTCGTGAGCTGGAAGTTCAAGCTCATGAGGCAACAAAGTGAAATCTGAAAATCCTTGACAGGAATATTAATAGTTGAATATTCCCCATTCAATGGTAACAAAGTAATACAGACAAAAATTGCTGACTGAAAGAGAATTTACTTAATCTCTAATCCTGTGACCCCAGGAGCAAACATCTGTTGATACTAATTTGTTGTACACAGGCTGCATTTTAAAGTATCATAATTATGTTATGAGAAACAAACGTGCAATTTTTTCACAATTTAAGCACCTACTGCATCTTACGGTATAGCTATGGGTATACAGATATACAGTGCATCTTGAGTGAACTAATCCATTTAGTTCTAATTTTGCCAAATGTAAGTAAAAACAGTATGGGACTTTGACATCCAGTTGTGTCATGAATCCAATTAATATCTTGATGTTGGGCACCAGGGTTACAAGCCCATAGTTTGTATATGTTTTATAACTAGTTTTCTGGTTTGACTTTAAGAGGTGAGCTAATAAAAAAAAATCCAGTCAGTTCCAGTGGAATACATAGGTACTGAGCAAAGATCAAGCCGTACGAGTTTTGTGTTTCATAAGTGTATTAGTCTGATATGGTGAATGATTGTCTTTCATGTATATCACCTTAATATCATTAATATACCTCTTATACAAGGAGGGGAAAAAAGCTGTGTTCAAAAAGCTAACACTTCTCTACGTGAGCTGTCCTTATGTGCAAAGCCCCACTTTTCCCAGAGCTAACAAGTTTCAGCTTTTTCCTAGTTTGCTAGGGACAAGCTTGCACGTCTCATTATAGTTAAGAAAACAAAAGTCTGGCTGCCAGGTATTGCCAATGCCTCTCCATTTGCAGGGCTTTCCTACCGGAGCTGGCACGGGAGAGGAGGGATGTGCACGCTTCTGCTGAGGACACGGGCTGCTCCTGTGCCCCCAGGAGCACAGGCTGGACTTTGTTAGTCCTCCTAAGGGCATGGGCTGCTTGAACAGCCCTGCTTCCTCCAGCCTTTCACTGCTTCAGGACCTTTCAGCCTGTTCTTGCCCTGGTTTGTGCTGGCCATGCAAGCCCTGAAGTGTAGCTACTTGTTCCCATCACCTCTGCCTGTTTGCCCACTCCATCTCTCTGTAGGGAGCTGAAAAGGATACAGTTTTTCTGTCAGCTCCACAATATGCCAGTCCTGATGATGGAGGTCTGGGGAAGATTTTAATTAAAGTCAAAGCAGCAGTTCAGGAGCCAATCAAAATAATAATAATGCCAATTGTTTCTAAAGACTTAGCAGTAAATCAAGAATTTCAAGCCCGCTCTTCAACTAATCTGTTGGAGACAGCTGTTCGCAGATGACCTTTTTGTAAGATTTCTTACAGGGAAGCAAAGGGAGAGTGAGAAACTGCCAGTTGAAGCTTTTCACACTGATCTCATTTTTGTCTTTGAGGCTTAAAATATTCACAAGCACTGAAAGCTGATATTTATGAGTAGAGCTGGGGTGGCTGGGGGGCATCGCTTAAACAGCTCCTAGCCCATCACCACCAATTCTAGGTGTACTCCACCAGCTCCATGGAGATTCTGTACTGATATTTTTAAAAGTAATCACCTCCATATATTTCAGCATTGTTCTTTCTAAAACACATTCTTGTCTTTTACCTTTTTCATAGAATTTTTTTTGTAGAAATGAACTGTTTTCCCTTGTTTTCCAAGTAGCACTTATGCAATTCAGTGACAGAAAATTCTGTTGGACTTGAAAAAACACCACTTTCTGTTAAATCTTTTTAAATTGTATGCCTGTGTTCCACTTTGCCTTGAGTAACATAAATCCCACTCATTTTATGGAGTTCAGTGGATGTAGATATGTGCCAAGTACAGAGACAAAGAGAAGTGCAAAGGTGTAACCAAGGATTTGACCTGCATAATCCAACAGGAGAAAAGCTGTATTCTGCAATCTGAAAAGCACAACGTATCTCTTTGGCAGAACTTGAACCTCAGCACCTTTGATCTAACACCACTGAGGCCAAATAAGCCTCAAACACGGTGACCATTTTAGAGGCTTCTACAGAAAACCACTCTGTAGTGAGCACCCGGCTCAAATAACTTTCTAAAGTTTTTATGAGTAGAAATAGTTTAAAGCCTTCGTTCCAACTCTTGCAATCCAGCCTAGAACTGTTTCTGTTTTTCCCCCTGCCTTATATTTATAGCCAGTTTTTTAGACAAGATGCCCTCACGAAGTTCTCGCAAGTTGAGCATGGAGACCAGAAAAGAAGATGGTGAGAGCACGGCACCTGCCCCTCCGCAGAAGAAGCTGTCCTGTCAGTGCCACCACCACTGTCCTGAGGACTCCGTCAACAGCACCTGCAGGTTTGTGGGAGATATGTTTGGTGGTGACACATGGGAAAAGCTCTTTGTGGTAGCTCAGCAGTCCCAAGTTGGGTGTTGCAGATTGTTTAAGCAGTGATATGTAAATGAGTTGTTTATACATTGTGTCTGAAAAACAGAGGTAATTTTTACCTAGATATCAGCTACTTATTTATATTTTTATGTTAGGGTGTTTACATCTTTACAGTTTTAGATAATACTTGTATTAATTCCTTGCATATGAAACACTCTGAAGGTGGGAGTTTGTTTTAAAAGCTACATGCAGTTAATGAGAAGAAACTTAATGGAGATACATTGAAATGCCAGTAAATGCTTATAAATTTATAATTACTCTCTACTGAACACAATTTATAAGAACTCCGCTCTTGGTGTGTGTCTGCAATAGCTGAACTATCTTTTGTAGGTCCTCAAGGCTTTGGTTTTTTTCTTACTTCCATGCTAAAAGGAGAGTGATCTTTTTCTTCAGGTGAAGTGTTGAGCATTTTCTTATACTAGCTATAGTCTTCTGTTCGGTTTTGTGTTTAGACTACTACAAACTTCTCATTTGAGTTGGATTCTGCTTCCTCAGATCCCCCTACCGCCCTAGGGGAGAGGCATGTCCAGCTGCGCACAGTCCTCTCGAAGGCTCAGCCATGGTCTGGGTTGCACTGACGCTGCCTGAAGCAGCAGAGCTGACGGAGGGTACCTGTGGTGACACCAAGCTGCTGTTCCCCCACCCAAAAGCAGCTCTTGCTGGACACCTACTATTGCTGTTGAATGAGGGTAGTGATCAGATACCTCTGTCTTGACCTCAGGTGTGTGTACAGTTTGCTTCAGCTGCAGCAAAGTAGGGCTGAGCTCATCATGTTCCACATGAGGAATTTAAATGTTCCTGCTTACTTAGAGCAGGTGAGGTGCTGGAGATACCATCAGCTATACCCTGGTGGAGTTGTGGGAATGTGAGAAGCAAAGCAGGACACAGATGTTAGCCCAGCTGGATGTGCTGGTTGGCTATGCAGTGCTGTTCGGGATGAGACAGTCTAACATTGTGTCAGCTCTTCAAGGCAGGGCATTAAAAAGATAAATGGGGAACGCCTAAGGTTGCTGAAGATACCGATTGCTTTGTTGGATTCCTGAGTGTTGTTTTGCAGCCTAACAATTCTGCTCAGCCTGCAGTTTCACACTGGAGTGTATCAAAGTTTTGATGACAGCTGTAAATACTATTTCCCCTTTCTATCCTCTTCCTTCAAACCCATGCTCTAGCCAGGAGTTAGACCTAACTGCTCTCACATGGCAGTCAGTTTAAAAAGCTGTAAAACCCCACCCTGATACCAATGTGCAGATCCCCTGCAGCATGAATCAGCTGTTTCCTGTTCCTGCCCAGCAAGAGCCACTGCTTTCACACATGGCAGTAGCAGGGAAGTTGCAGATGACTTTTAAATCCATGAATTAGGAAGCACAAAGGGATCCATGTTAAGGAACCCATTGATTAAGGTTTATACCCCAACGGGATAGGCCTGCTGTTGCACATTGCTTCATAGGCATCATTGACATTAAGGATTTTTCATGTTACCAGGAACTATGAGTAAGTGTCCTATTAGAATGGATTTGTGCATTTTCCCCTCACTGCAGTACTTTAGAGAAACTCTCTTCAGAGTCCCCCTTACAGTGCCAAATACCAAACTTGTTTTTAGGCGTTAATGCCCAAGGATAGGCAGTTAAATGGTACTGAAACAGAATTGTAACTCCTTTTGTCTTCATGATCTTTGCACTTTTCAGATTTGAATGTTCTATTTGAGCGACAAAATTATTTTTTCCAGTTTAGACATCAAAATAATAATTGAAACTGGAATTTATTCGTCAAATATTGATCACTTTTCTGTCCAGGTAAATGGAAGCAGTCAGAAGACTTGCATTAGAGCTACTCCTCTTTCCTATCCTGTGCTGTCACCCGAGCAGTAGCCACCTTGCCACTTGCCCAGTGAGCAGCCGCATTAGTGAACAATTGCTAAAGAGTTTGGAGTAATATAAAAGAAAAAATTTAAGTTAAATACCCTGCCTTCATGGCTTGTCAGCAATAATCCTTTTCAGGATGGGGATCATTGCTATGGCCCCCCTACCTCAGTGTGAGGCACAAAGTGCACAACGACCCTCTTTGCCCCTGCATCTGCTTAACTGTTAGTCCACAATCATTTGCTTTGTAAATTCCCTACTGCATAGCTGGAATTATGGATGAAAAGTGAAATGGGACATTACAGAGAGAAGAGAGTCCTAAGTCTGCTCTTGGGGAAGAGTAGTTACTAGGTCTCCAGTTAGCTGGCTGGGTTGAGACAAGGTTTCAAAAGATTTGTCCAAGACCAACCAGGTTAGCAGGGATTATTCATTTCCCCCGTGTTTTGGGATCATCCTGCTAGTCAGGCAGTAACTTTCACATTTCATCCTAGACCAAACAGGAGTGTTGGCACAGTTTTAAAGCACTCAGGAATTCTCATCGAGCCTTGCAATAAAGGAAGTTCCCCCATATTGAAGCAGTATCGATCACACTGTGTTTGTCTGAAGAATAAACAACCTGCTCCAGTGTAAAAGTTATTGCATTAATTATCTGGTTCCCTCAGATGTAGCCACTAAGAGCCTTTTACATTTTATATTTAAAAAAAATCAAACCTCTCATCAGCTCTATCAGTCTGTTAAGCTTTGGGCTGTGCAGGGACCCGCAGAGCTTGGATCTGCTAGCCCCCGAGGCACGAGCCAGCACATACTGGGGCACCCAAGGGCCTGGCAAAGCCCTGGCACCCAAGAAATTCACTGAGCACTTCCATAGCCAGGGCTTGGGCTCTGGAGAGCATCAGGCATTGTCCTGACCCCGGCTCTAGCCAAAGCAGGGAAGCCTTTTGTGTGTCCAGGAGCAAGGAGGGCTCTGAAAGTTGAATAGCAAAGCATTCCCAGCTGTGTTTAAATTAAAACTCTCAGAATAAAATAGCTAGACCTATTGCAATCACCATTAAAAATTTCTCATAAAAAGCAGTCTGCCATCCCACCTGAAGATTTTGGTCTGCTACCACAGATACTTATCTATTAAAGTATAGATCCTGCCTGGAGTACCAGTAGTCTGAATGTTTATATAAAAGGGAGGACATCTGGTGGCCGTGTAAAATCCTCCCCATAATTGTATTTTTAGAAATTTAAAAGTCAATATTCTTTAACCACATCTGTATCAAATCCTCTAACAGCCTGCTGTGTTCCTATACAGAATTTCCCTTTCTTTATACTTCCACAGCTCAAGTCCAATAATACTTTAGGGAGCTAAGGATAACATGGCAGCTTGAAATGCAGATTGCTTTCTCGATCAACAGAAAAGCAGTAGCTCTGGGTAGAATGCACTTTGAAAAAATGGGGCAATCCACAAGCACAAGTAGTTTTGTAAGACCCATTACAGGGTCATCTCATCAAGAGAGGGTTAGTGCCAGGGAGCAGCAAAAGGGGGCCAAGCCAGGAGCTGAGAGCGATGTGAGGGCGAGCCATACCCTCACCCACCAGGACCCCATTTCCCCAAGGGTACCTGAGCACAGCAGGCAGAGATGTCTTCCTCAACAGCCCTTCGCATGGCTGGTAGTGATCGGGATCCAGGCAGGAGATGGGGGTGGAAACAAGTGTTCCTGTTCCGTCACTCAGGGAGAGGTTTGGTGCTCAGACCTGAGCTTAAATGGAGCCCTGGGCAGGGGGTGC